ACCGAGCGGGAGTTCGAGCAGCTTGTGTGTGGGGTCACCGCGGCGAAGAACTCGAATCTCCATGGGGGGTGTCTCCCCGAACCAATTCGTTCGGAAAGGGCCCGAGGGTTCCCCTGGACCTTCTGCCCGATGATCCCGTCAACCAAGTGGGGCTTGACGACGTGGCCGAGGGGGCCTGGGATCGGGCACCGCTGCGGCGGACTTTGCCAGAATCATGGCCATCGGCAAGCGAGCTCGGACCATGCGCTTCGAGGGCAGCTGCCGGGGGAAGGTCCAGGCGGCGGCTCGGGCGCCCGAGCGTTGGGGTCAAAAGTTAGCTCCGGGGAACTGGGTGCCCGCGTGGCGTCGCGCCCTGGCCCTGCGGCGGAAGAAGACCTTTGCCGTGCAGCGGGGCCGCTGGAGTGGTCTTGTTGTGTTTCAATGCGGTAGCTCGGTCTGGGTCTCTCTGAGACCCCGCTCAGGGAAATGTGCGACAGAACAGCTCCGCCCCGCGCCCAGCCCAGAGGCCCGAGTGGCCGAGATGCTCCAGGGCGGGGCGCGCCAGGATCTCGCCCGCCAGGTGCAGTCTGGGCCCCAAAGGGCCGGAGTTGATGTGTCTCGCGAGCCCCCCCCCCCCCGAGGAAGCTTTGCGCGGTGTTGTCGGCGGCGGTCGTGGAGGATCTCAGTCTCCTCCTCCTCTGGCCACGACGGCTCCCGACTCGCGTCTGGACAGCCGCGCGGCGGGCGAGCCAGGTGCCGAGGTTTTTCCGCCCGCGGTGCTTGCCCCCGCCGCCTCCTCCCTCGGCGGAGAGAGCCGTCCGATGTCTCGCGGGATGTCGTCTCGCGCGGATGTCCCATCGGATCAGGTGTCTGATGGGGGGGTCGAATCTCAGGGGGGTGCCAGTTCGGGGGGCAAGAGGAAGGGTCCGGAACTTGTTCAGTCGTGTGCGATCGCGGGTGTGCCTCGAGTTTCCGAGTCCCGCCCTGGCCGTGGAGCTAGCGCGTCCAACCCTTTCGCGAGCCGGCGCTGTCCGAGCAGGCCCGTGTCCAGGAGTCGCGTTGATCTGGGCCAACCGCGTCCTGGACATGGGCGCCCGAGCGCGGGGTCGCCGTGTCTTGTTCAGGGGGCAGTTTGAGCCCGCGGTCAGGTCGAGGCCCAGCGACCTCAGCCAGCGCGGAGATCGTCTCAGCAGGTTGCCCCGTCCCGTCGAGGACCTCCAGAGAGGAGATGCGCCCGTTAGGGGCGTGATCGCGGGTTTGGAGTCGATTGGAAGGACTTGGGACTCCGGCGTGCGCGGGGCGGCAGGACAGAGACCCTGGCCAGGTGGCAGAAGCGGCTTCGGTTTTGTTTCGCTTTCCTCATAGTCAGAACAATGCCTTGCATCTGTTGCCGAGGGACTTGCGGTCCGGGATGGCCCAGGGGCTGGGCGCATTTTGCGAGCGGCAATGCCGATGTTGAGCTCGTCCCAGGGGGGCCTGGGGCCTCCGGGGAGGGGCGCTTGACCGTTGCTGCCTCCAGGGCCGGCGAGAATTCGATGGCCGAGCTCGTTGCTGAGGGCGGGGGGCCTTTCGGGGGTCGGGCGCCAGTGAGCGGGCGGGCGTCTCTTGGGCCGGCGCCGCCCACGTCCGCCCTTAAGGGGGGGCGTCTCGGGCTCTTGCACCTCGGTCCGGCAGTCTCGGCTAGGGCGGCCTGACGATTGGGCCGCAAGGGGGTTGTCGTGGCAAGCCCGAGGCCCAGAGCCGCTGGCGCGTGCGCGGCCATGGGGATGAGGGCGCCCGCGAGTTGACAGTTTATTCCCCAGAGCCGCAGGTGGAGTCTTTCGTGTGGTTTCTTACCATGGCTCTCGCGCTATAGGGGTGCCTCTTGCCATCGGGGATCTGAAGAGTGCTCTCTGCCAGTCGGATCCCATTCGAAGGGGCCGTGGGGGAGTTTTCGCGGGGCCCTGCGAGGGCCTGTGTTTGGGGGCCGGGAATGTGATCGAAGTGGAGGTGCCATTCTACGGACTTGGCGATGCTCCGTTAGCCCTTCATCGCGCGACCGTTCCGTTCTTAGGAGGAGGAGGAGGAGGAGGAGGAGGAGGAGGAGGAGGAGGAGGAGGAGGAGGAGGAGGAGGAGGAGGAGGAGGAGGAGGAGGAGGAGGAGGAGGAGGAGGAGGAGGAGGAGGAGGAGGAGGAGAGGGAGGAGGAGGAGGAGGAGGGCGGGAGGGAGGGAGGAGGGAGGGAGGGAGGGAGGGAGGGAGGGAGGGAGGGAGGAGGGAGGGAGGGAGGGAGGGAGGGAGGAGGGAGGGAGGGGGAGGGAGGGAGGAGGGAGGGAGGGGAGGGAGGGAGGGAGGGAGGGGGGGGAGGGAGGGAGGGAGGGAGGGAGGAGGGAGGGAGGGAGGGAGGGAGGGAGGGAGGGAGGGAGGGAGGGAGGGAGGGGAGGGAGGGAGGAGGAGGAGGAGGAGGAGAGGAGGAGGAGAGGAGGAGGAGGAGGAGGAGGAGGAGGAGGAGGAGGGGGATCGGGGAGGGGGGGAGGAGAAGCTGGAGGAGGAGGCGGAGGAGGAGGACGAGGAGGAGGACGAGGAGGAGGAGGGGGAGGAGGAGGAGGCGGAGGAGGAGGAGGAGGTCCGAGCTCGAGCTGTGCTGGTAGGTCCGTAGGGGCCCTGGCGGCCCCGACGCGAGGGTCCTGCACGAGGTGGGTGACTGGGCTAGCGGGCTGTTAGATAGGTCTCGGGACGACCAGATCATGCGTTTTACCTATCGTTTCGTCTCCGGGAAACGAGGGGTTGTGGATTCGGATTTGGGGGTGGAATGCGTCGGGCGACGAGTTCGTCGTCTGCGCGATCGTATTGGAGTGGATCAACAGAAATACATCCTCGAGAACCTTCGCCGTCTCCATCTATCCCAGGACCGACGAAGCCGACGCGACCAGCCCCTGGTGCGCTGCGAGAATTCCGAGCTCTGGTTTCTCATCTATCCACTCAGTTGGTCGGCCGAGAAAACCGAGCAGAAGACGGGCCACGGCGTTCATCCTGGCCAGAAGAGCAGACAACCCTTGCGTCGGCGACGCTTTTAATGCCAACGAGATGGTGGGCCATTTCCGGCAGACAGCAACCGCCCCCATGCAGTCTGAAAGATAATTCTTTGATGTGATCTTTGCCACGTCCTCGGATGCCGGCGGAGAGGCAGCAGACAGCGCCGACGAGGCCCAGCTAGCATGGCAAGTCTATGCGGCAGATTCCTCCTTGGTTTCTGGTTCCAGGGCTCGGGTGTCTCCTTTGCCCTGGCGTTCCTATCGTGCTAAGAGAAGAGTGCTGTCTATCTACCCTTGCATGGGAAATTCAGTCTTTTTCTGAGGCCCTACAGAAGCAGAGTGATTGCATATGCTCTTCCTGGACATTCTGCGGGGTAGCGTGGTCACAGAAGACTGGCGTGGCAAAGTGGGCCCGTTCGCAGGTGGTCTTGGACCGAACTGTTCTTTGAACGCTCAGCACGAGGGGGCCCTGAGCGTGGTTGACGCCAAAAAGGTCTTCGACATTTTAGAACGCGACTCGACCGGCTTCATGAACGACAGACGCTCCACGATTGACCTGTCGGTCTGCCGCGAGACCCTGGGTCGATGCAGAGGCGCCGTGAGATGGGCGTCGCGCCCTGTGATGGCGGTGGAGCCCCCTGCCAAAACTGACTTGTCAAAATGCAGCGCGGCGCAGTTGCGGACTTTGAAGTCCGGCGTGATGAGGTAGGCGCCAGAAGAGGACAGTGTCTCCGCCCGTCACGAGGATCTGACCACCCGCGACCGATCCCGTGCCGCCTCCCTTCGACAACTGTCGCGCTCCTGACGACGACGACGTCTCAGTGGCCGCGGGTCTCGGGTTCTGTGTGAGTTTCGATGCTGCGGCCAGTTCGTGAGCTGAATTCGAGCTCACTTGAATGTGGGCACGCTGTGGAAATCTGAACCGTGCGAGCTTAATTGCCTTTCCTGCGTTATGTGTTCATGCGCGTGAATGCGCGCGCGTGCGCGCATCCGCTGCTGTTTGGTACCGGGGCACCCTTCGACGCCGTGTCCCGCGCTGGGAAAACATACCTCGTCTTCGCCGCTGACCTTCTCTGTCGTGCTACCGTCTCCTCCGTGGCCAGGGCGGTCTGCCGGGTGCCGCTTGCGGCTCTTGTTTGGCCGCGCTGGCCGTGACTTCCTGCCTGGGCTTGTATGCGCCTTGGACTTGCAGCGCTTCTTTTGGCTGCTTTTGCGCGCAGGGGTGACGATGACGCGCGACTTGGCGATCCCTTGGGGCCTGCGCCGCAACCTCGTAATTCGTCTAATCCTGCCTGGCAGCTTCCTGTCCAAGTTCTCGCCGCGGGAACTGGCAGATGCGTCGCGGACTGGCTTCGTCAAGTAGGCGACCGCGGTGCACATGATCGTCATTTTGTTTTGGGATGTGCGTAGTTGCTGAGTGATAGCTGCCGGGAAACACCTGCGTAGCCGACGATGCGCTGCCGGATGACGTTGCCAACTTGCCGTGCCACGGACATGCGTCTTCGCCGAAAGCAGCTTCGGGTCGATCCACTTGCTCGGTGAGGTTTGCGATGACGGGTCTTCCAACCAACTGTAGCTGTGATCCCAGAGGCGCAATCGCGAAAGACTTTGAATCGATCGAAGCTGTGACGAGCTCGCGCAAGTTTGTCCACCTGCATTTGCTTTGGCAGCGGCCCATCCGACCCACTGAGCAACGAGCATATCCCGCACGTAGCCGGTGTCCGCCACGCGTTGGTGCATGTCCTGGAGCCCTCCGTCCAGACCCAATCCGACTCGTCGTCGTATGGTTTGGGAGGAGGGGGGACGGAGGAGGGAGGGATGGAGGCAGGGAGGCACGGAGGAGGGAGGGAAGGAGGAGGGAAGGAGGAGGGAGGGAGGAGGGAGGGAAGGAGGAGGGAGGGATGGAGGCAGGGAGGGGGGAAGGAGGAGGGAGGGATGGAGGCAGGGAGGCGCGGAGGGCCGGCGCCCCGCAGCCCCGCTCCCCTGAATGCCCAGTCCTCGCCTTCAGGAGGTGGCTGCTCGGCCCCCTCCTCGCGGCGCTGGTGGCCTGCGCGCTCTGCGGCAGCGGCGGCCTCCTCTGCAGGGTCTGCTACCTTGCGGCCGTCTGGGCGCCCGTGGCCGCCAGGGCAGCGGTGCAGGGCTTCGCCCGCTCCTCCGGCCCCGTGGTGGCGGCCCTGGAGGTCGGGAGGGGGGCAGGAGGACGGAGGACGGGGGAGCACGGGGAGGGCGGAGGAGCAGGAGGCTGATGGAGGGATGGGGACGAGGATGTGGGCGGAAAAGGAAGTGAAGGAGGAGGAGGACGAGGAGGAGGAGGAGGGACATGAGGAAGAGGAGGAGGAGGAGGAGGAGGAGGAGGAGGAGGAGGAGGAGGAGGAGGAGGAGGAAGAGGAGGAGGAGGAGGAGGAGGAAGAGGCGGAGGAGGACCACTGTAAACCCAAGCGTCATCAACGTTGTCGGAAGACATCATCTCTCCAAACTCCCTCCTCATAGGCTCCTACAACGGTTCATTTCCATTGAGGGAAGTGCTACGTTGGAAGACAACGTTCGAAGACCCTGAAGTATGCCAAAACATTGTTCTCGGGATTCCAACGCCACGGATCAACCTGACTGCTGTGTCTTGACGTTTTTGAATCGTGCCCGAACACAGTTCCTGGGACTTCCACACAACGAATCAACGTAACTGTGGTGCCCACATCATCCTGACCTCCTTCAACACACCATTTCTGGTACGTTGTATATGAAAAAAAATGTGAAGCCCTTGTTTGCAATATGCGTAAACGAATGTGCGCGGCGCTGACGCGAAAGCCACATTGTGAGAAGGAACCGCCCTCAATCCGTGAAGCGGTTGCAACTCTTTAAAACGAATGTGTACCGCGCTAAGGCGAGAACCACATTCTGAAAACCACCCGCCCTCAATCCGTGAAGCTCTTGCACATTTTCAAAACGAGTGTGCGCCGCGCTAAGGCGGGGACACAATTATCGGAAACGACCCGCCCTCCATCTGTGAAGCTCTTGAACATTTTCAGCTTCAGACATAAATCGTGAGGAAGTGTCAGGCGAAACGCCCGACCCGCTCTTTAAACTGCCCTCGGGGTGCCACAAGGAAAAGTTATGTATAAAGAAACATGGAGGAGGAGGAGGAGGAGGAGGAGGAGGAGGAGGAGGAGGAGGAGGAGGAGGAGGGAGGAGGAGGAGGAGGAGGAGGAGGAGGAGGAGGAGGAGGAGGAGGGAGGAGGGAGAGGAGGAGGAGGAGGGAGGAGGAGGAGGGGGGAGGGGGAGGGGACAGGGGGAACAGGGGACAGGGGAGGGGGGAGGGGGGAGGGGGGAGGAGGAGGGGGAGGAGGGAGGAGGGAGGAGGAGGGAGGAGGAGGAGGAGGGAGAGGAGGAGGAGGGGGAGGGAGGAGGGAAAACGGAGGAGGGAGGAGGGAGGAGGCAGGAGGAGGAGGGAGGAGGGAGGAGGGAGGAGGGAGGAGGGAGGAGGGATAAGGGCAGTTGGGTGTGGCAGTTTGTCGACCGCCCCCTGGGAATACTTTTTTTGTCGGGTTTGTTCGAAGGTTTTTCGGGGTTCTTTCTGGAAAGGAAACCACAGAAACACCACCCAACTCAGGTTTTTTGTTGTGGTTTGTTTCGGGGGTTCCCGGGGGTGGGGCCCGAACAACAAAAAACGCAACTTTGGTTTTTTGCTGCGTTTTTTTGTTTCTCTGGAGGGGGAAACACCCGCAACAACATCCCATGTCGGGTTCTTGTCGATTGTTCTTCGGGGGTTTTCCCGGGAGAGGGGGTCCGCCAAAAACGCGTTTTGTTGTTGTTGTTGTTGAATATTATTACTTCTAAAGAAATATTATTGTTGAGACCCCTGGTGCGCGACCCCCCTCCAAAACCTAGGCCGCAGCCTCATTTCCTTCATTTTCTAGCGAAAGCTTCAGAAAAGTGGATTGTGTCCGGATCCGGTTGTTTTGTTGTAATCCGTTTTCCCTTGCAAAAAACACTATAAAATGAAAATTCTTGTTCTTACTTGATCAAATTGCAAGAATCCCTTGCAAAAAATAAGGTAAAGTGGACATTCGTGCGCGCAAGACGAAATCCTTCCAAAACCTTAGGTTTCGTAGCGATTTTAACATAAAAACATCAAAAACCCAATGGTTTTTTAAGAAAAAATTGTCAAAATGTCCTTCCGCGCGCGCTGTCCGAATCCCACAAAACCAATGGTTTTTCAACATTTATGTTACATGAGCTCGCGCGAGCTACTTTTTCTTGTTCTAACATAATCAAATTTCAATAATCCCTTGCAAAAAATAAGGTAAAGTGGACATTCGCGCGCGCAAGACGAAATCCTTCCAGAACCTTAGGTTTCGTAGCGATTTCAACATAAAAACATCAAAAACCCAATGGTTTTTCAAAAAAAAATGTCCAAATTTCATCCCGCGCGCGCTGTCCGACTCCCACAAAACCAATGGTTTTTCAACATTTATGTTACATGAGCTCGCGCGAGCTACTTTTTCTTGTTCTAACATAATCAAATTTCAATACTCCCTTGCAAAAAAAAGTAAAGTGGACATTCGCGCGCGCAAGACCAACAAAAAACACGACGATCTCAGGAACTTGCCCCAAAAATGTGACCAACTCCGCTCTCTCTGTCTCTCTCTCTGTCTGCTCTCTGTCTCTCTCTCTGTCTGTCTGTGTCATGTATTGTATGTCACAATTGCAGGATGCTGGGCACACGCGCGCCCCGAATAAGTGACCAAGTTCTGTGGGTGTGTACCCCACGCCAGTGTAGTAGCCACGGTCGTCCGCACGCCACGAAGTGAAGTGTCCCAACGTCATAGGGCGGGAAGCTGGGTTTGGGTGGTGCGAAGAGTCGTTTGGATATTTGGTAGAGCTTGAACTGCCCCCCCACGAAGTGGGGGTATTGCTCGCGTCGCATGAAAAAAACCCTGGCACTGGTGAGAACACTGAGCGTTCGGGTAAAATGATTGTTGTTGTTGTTGTGTTGTTGTTTGTTGTTGTTGTTGTTGAACATTTTAATTCTAAAGAATAATTATTGTTGGGGCCCCTGGTGCACGGCCCCCCTTGCGCCGCCTAGGCCGCAGCTACATTTTCATCATTTTCGTGAGGAAGCCTCAGGTAATTCGATGTGATCAAGATCCGGTTGTTTTGTTGTAATCCGCTTTCCCTTGCAAAAAACACTATAAAATGACATTTCTTGTTCTAATATAATCAAATTTCAAGAATCCCTTGCAAAAAATAAAGGTAAAGTGGACATTCGCGCGCGCAAGACGAAATCCTTCCAAAACCTTAGTGTTCGCAGCGATTTTAACATAAAAACATCAAAAAACCAATGGTTTTTCAACAAAAAAATGTCAAAATCTCATCCCGCGCGCTCTTGCGGATTCGTAGGAAACCCAACACTTTTTAAACATTTCTGTCAAACGGGCTTTTGCGAGCAACTTTTTCGAACTTCTGCGACAACGGTTGCGCACCTGCCAGGGCCATCATCCCTGTCAAATAATACCATGCGGGACACATGCGCCCAGGAATTCCACAAATGTGACCAACTATCTTGCGAGTACGTATCATCTCATGTGTGTCGTGCACACTATCAAATGTAACAGAGTTGTGTATTCCCATCATCCCAGGAACTTGACCCAAAAATGTGACCAACTCCGATCTCTCTCTGTCTCTCTCTCTGTCTGCTCTCTGTCTCTCTCTCTGTCTCTCTGTATTATGTATTGTATGGCACAATTGCACCATGCTGGGCACATGCGCGCCCCGAATAAGTGACCAAGTTCTGTGGGTGTGTACCCCACGCCAGTGTAGTAGCCACGGTCGTCCGCACGCCACGAAGTGAAGTGTCCCAACGTCATAGGGCGGGAAGCTGGGTTTGGGTGGTCGCGAAGAGTCGTTTGGATATTTGGTAGAGCTTGTAATGCCCCCCCACGAAGTGGGGGTATTGCCTGGTGTCGTATGAAAACCCTGGCACTGGGGAGAACACCACGCGTTCGGGTAAAATGATTGTTGTTGTTGTTGTTGTTGTTGTTGTTGTTGTTTGTTGTTGAACATTATTAATTCTAAAGAATAATTATTGTTGGGCCCCTGGTGCGCGCCCCCCCTGCGCCGCCTAGGCCGCAGCTACATTTTCATCATTTTCGTGAGGAAGCCTCAGAAAAGAGGGTGTGTACAGGATCCGGTTGTTTTGTTGTAATCCGCTTTCCCTTTGCAAAAAACAATAGAAAATGACATTTCTTGTTCTAATATAATCAAATTTCAAGAATCCCTTGCAAAAAATAAGGTAAAGTGGACATTCGCGCGCGCAAGACGAAATCCTTCCAAAACCTTAGTGTTCGCAGCGATTTTAACATAAAAACATCAAAAAAACCAATGGTTTTTCAACAAAAAATTGTCAAAATCTCATCCCGCGCGCTCTTGCGGATTCGTAGGAAACCCAACACTTTTTAAACATTTCTGTCAAACGGGCTTTTGCGAGCAACTTTTTCGAACTTCTGCGACAACGGTTGCGCACCTGCCAGGGCCATCATCCCTGTCAAATAATACCATGCGGGACACATTCGTTTTTTCTTCGCGCGCGCACGCCGAAATCTCCAAAAACCATTGGGTTCTTAAGAATTTTAGCACCGCGCATCATAAAATCACACGAATCGCACCGTAGGTCCTCGAAAAACACCTGCACGACTTTTCAAAATTTCCACCCGCGCGCGCTGTCCGAATCCTAAAAAAACCAATGGTTTTCCAACATTTATGTTACATGAGCTCGCGCGAGCTACTTTCGCACGCTCTTGCAACGGGGTTCGCGCGCCTGCCAGGGGCCACAATCCCTTGCGGTTGCGCCATAGGTTGCGCCCTCGGCCGCCGAGAATAAAACGTCCCCCTATTGGTTGCGCCATAGGTTGCGCCCTCGGCCGCCGAGAATAAAACGTCCCCCTACTGGTTGCGCCATAGGTTGCCCCAGGAGGCCTTCAAGAGGCCCCAAGAGCCCGCCGTGAGGACCCAATAAGCCCCCAAGAGGCCCCAAGATGCTTCCAAGAAGCCCCCCAAAGCCCCTCAAGAGGACCCCAAGCGGCGCCAGGAGGCTTCCCCCCTTCCCCAAGAGGACCCCAAGCGGCCCCAGGAAGCCTCCGACTGATCACTGGCACATCCGTAGCCATCTCGGATCAAGGTATCGC